TATTGAGTTTTAAATGCACGTACACCGATAAACACGTCTACTAAACTAATAAATCATAAAATTAGTACAATATTATCAGTTTTTTTACTCTTAATCGCTTCAATATTAACAAGGACGCGAACTCCCATAAGGATGTCGGTCTTTAATAATATCTCGTCGGTGGTATAATTTCTGATGAAAATGTTACAAAATCTAAAAAATTATAAATTTTTTTAAAATTTTATGGGATGAGAAATTTCAGAATATTTCAGAATTCACTTGTATGAAAAATTCTGTGAGAAGATGTGAACTTTCCGAACATTTCTAAGTATTTCTGAAAAATGTTACAATTCGTATAAAAATTTTGAGAAAAATTTTCACCAGGGATGTAAACCGATTTGCACTCAATTGCACTCGGTGCACTAGTTTTCCTAGCAGAAAGCGCTGAGTGCAAAAAGTGCAAGCAACGGGAATAATAAACCTTCTATTGGTCTAGATCGGTTTAGATTGTTTGCGCGTGATCGCGTGGTTCTGTACGTTCATTGTTGTTCATTGAGCTCATTCTCTTATGACACCTCGGAGTGTCAGGGTCAGGTGCTCCGAAGATTACATGTGTTTACGTTAGTTTGTGCACGCTGTGGCTGCATGCGATAACGTAAAGCAGACAGCCTCGACGTACATCCGAGTCGAGTGTTTTGTTTCGCGAGTTTTAGACAAGATTAACTCCGGAAAGAAGAGAATCGTATCTGTATTACGTAAATCGCAATATATAAGGTATACAGAGTTTTCGCACGGCACATCAAACTCAAGAACGCTGTCGCACGCATTTATTTTGAGTGTCTTTAACCTATAAGAGGTCGAAGATGTGCTGGAAAAGCGGGGGCGAAGAGGAATATTAGCACGAAGAACAGTGCCGGAGCGCGGCGATATTCCGAGATAGGATGGTCTTGCAAAAAATCAGCTATGACTTCGTTAAAGGTTTCCGGCATGTGCATGCTAGAACGAGCGAGTCTTGCGGCAACAAGAGCTTCCAACGATTGTATATGGGATTACCACGGCTCACGCCGCAAGAGGTACTTTTAATTTAATCCTTAGTACACACGATAATTTTCTGGTCCTTTGTTGCACACGATGAGTCGTTTGTGTCCTGGATTAATTTTTATTGCTTTTACAAGTATATAAAAATTATGATTTTCTTACATAAACTTTAATATTTTTAAAGAAAATATTTATAAAGTTGTATATTTAAAAAAAAGAAAGAATAGAGAATAATTATTTTATCAAGTGCTTTTAGCATTTCAAAGAAAAAATACAAGCAAAACATAAATAACCTAATCGTGTTTATCTCATCTCTTCTCTATGAATATATTATGCATCGTTATTATCTCGTTGTAGGTCACAAACGTCTTACAAGCCAATGAGTATACCAAAGAATTTTCCGGCCCAGGATCCATAAAATATTATGACTCTAATCAATTGGGGTCTAATAATCCTATAGAAGATACAAGATCCGAGGCTCAATGTTTGCTAACTAAAGGTATAAAAGTCAAACTATGGGTCCTATTCCGTAAAACGGAAAGATAAAGGGCATACACCACAAACACAAGATATCAGTAGCGAGTATTTTATATTTAAATATAGTCAATTTAATCTTAGATTATAAATTAAATCAATTCATAATCAAATATTAAATAGATGTTTCGGCCTTAAATTAGGCCATCTTCAGTATCATTATATTCCTCTGGATATTATAACTCGAAACTTTTTGGACTATCATCACTATTTACTTTAAATTATAGGAGAAAAAGGAAAAATAAATTTTAGTTAACGAATGTTCTTGTGTAATCAATAATTAGACATGTTATGAGAGAAAAAATTCAGATTAGGGTTCCGTTGCGTTAAAAATTTACTAAATTCATATATGATATGAATTTAGCCGAAACGTCTATTTAATATTTGATTGTAAATCGACTATATTTAAATATAAAATATTCGCTATTGATATCTTGCGTTTGTGGTGTGTATGCCCTTTATCTTTCCATTTTAAATTTGTACCACCTATTGACATTTATTGCCTATTCTGTAACTCTTTAACAACAGTGTTAATGTCACCATTACATTAGGTCTGTTTTTTTTATAGCTAAATTTTATAGCTAAACTCTTTGTACTCATAGTGAATTAAATATACGAACTAATTTTTTCTTGTTGAAATCATTGGCTTTATCGACCAGTTGATAAAAAATAATACTAATGACATAAATAAGTGGTATCAGGCATTCAAATTCAAGGATTTCTTAGTTTTATGTCTCTACAAATACATTGTTTCCAATTTTATCTATTTGCAGGTGTACTATTTATAGCTAAACTCTTTATATTCACAGTGAATTAAATATACGAACTAATTTTTTCTTGTTGAAGTCATTGGCTTTATCGACCAGTTGATAAAAAATAATACTAATGACATAGATAAGTAGTATCAGGCATTCAAATTCAAGGATTTCTTAGTTTTGTATCTCTACAGATACATTCTTTCCAATTTTATCTATTTGCAGGTGTATTATTGGGAGTTTTCGATGGTCATGGTGGTGGTGCCTGTGCACAAGTAGTATCGAAAAGACTGTTTCATTATATATCGGCATGTCTGTTACCATCAAAATTATTGGAACAATATTTGAATTCTATTGGTACTGACAAAAAAATTAATTTACTCGAGACTTTCAATGATAAAGTAGAATTTGTAGCTGAAATCAGAGATCTCTATCAAACAAGTTTCTTAAATTTCATAAGAGACTTGATACAATCAGATACCAGAAAAGAATTTCAAATGGAAAAGGCTTTGGAAAATGCTTTTCTCAGATTAGATAACGATCTATCGAATGAAGCTCTGTTACAACTAAATAAGAAAGATGCTGCAAAAACTCTCGCTGTCGCAATGTCAGGTACGGTAGCCGCTGTGGCGCACATAGATGGTCCTCATCTCCATGTCGCTGGTGTTGGTGATTGTAAGGCTGTCCTAGGAGTACTCTCAGGTTCGTTTTCATCATCCTATCATTATATTCAATATCAATTAAAAGGATGGTTGTACTAATAAGTCCTGTATTGATTTCATTTAGAAAACGATGGATGGTCGGCTAAAATGATGACGGTAGAGCATAACGTTGATAATCGCACGGAGGTAGAGAGAATCTTATCGGAGCATCCACCAAACGAGAGATCGACTGTGATTAAAATGGAAAGACTACTTGGGCAACTGGCGCCGCTTCGCTCATTAGGTGATTTTCGCTACAAGTGGACTAAGAATATTATGAAGGAAGTCGTGGTACCATTCCTCGGCGAGACGGCGATTCCTCCGAATTATCATACACCACCCTATTTAACCGCTAATCCGGAGATCAAATATCACAGGCTGATGCCGAGGGACAAATTTCTTATATTAGCTAGTGACGGACTATGGGACCTGATTTCACCATTACAAGCTGTACGCTTGGTAGGAGAACATATGAGCGGAAAGGTTACGCTCAGTCCATTCAGATTACCTCGTAAAAATATGAAATTGTCGGACATAAATGAAATGTTGCTGCAACGCAAGGAGGGCTTAAAGAAAAAACCTCTCGATAGCAACGCAGCGACGCATTTACTGAGGAACGCTTTAGGTGGTACAGAATACGGAATAGATGATGCCAAATTGTCACAATTGTTGACTCTGCCGAGCGAAGTGGTTCGGATATTTCGTGACGACATCACCATAACGATTGTTTATATAGATTCAGAATTTTTAAGACATTGTCCTCCTTAAAACTGTCGCAATTTCTTACTATTTTTTAATACTGGTGTGTATCAGTATACAGCTTGTTATTTATTTAGTTAACAATAAAAACAATTTACATGAAAACAGTATTCTGAATATCAATAATATGTATGTAATATATTACATAACACTCGCGTTACTCCATCGATTTCAGTTAGCGAAATTTTTTTTTAATTGGCTAACACACGGCTCGATTCCGACTCTCTACGAATGATCCTGTGTTAAGCCCACTCGAATCGAGACATTCGTATAGTAATACACAAGAGTGTTTGAAATTATAATCGAAGGTGATTAGGAAGTAGCTATATAAAATCTATGATTTACAATTAATTTGTTAGGTACTTATTATAGTGATTACAATAGTGATGCATTAAACACAGAGTTTGCCATATACCTCGTAAATCACCAACATTTTTTTCTACTTTACACTTTATGATAAAAAATAATCAACCTCTTTTGACTGCTTGATAAAAGTCTAAGAATTTTTTTTATCTCAAAATATATGATTTATTTCATAAGTTATGTGTCATTTTTACTAAGTAAATAAGCAGTAAGCTTATATGATACCAGATTGTAATCGTTGTTACGCTTAAAAAAAGAAGAGATCTAAAAGAGACGAGGGAAAAAACTCGTTTCCAAATATAACGTATTTATACAGATATTATCAAGCAAGTATTGTAAGAGGAATAAGGCAAGCATGTATAACTAAAAATATTTGTTGAATTATAAATCTGTTTACTTAATTACGAGAGACTTCAAAAGATTCTCTCAACCTTCTTGACCAAAATCTTCCTTAAATTTCTCTAACTTTGCCAAATCTTCTTCATTCACTGTAGGACGGGTCGTTGCTAGTGATTTCAACATATCTTTCTATAAAATGACAACAATAATATATATCAGATAAAAACACTCTTCTTATATACAACACACATAAATATAAAATATATAACAAAATAATATAACTAAGGCCCTGTTGTACAATGGAGGAAACATCAGGAACAGGTAGAAATATTAAATATAAGAAAAATAAAAGAAAAATTAAGAATAGAATTATATATCATTTTATTTATATCCATTATGCTTTAAGTTTAATCTCTATTCCTAATTTTTTTATTTGTCTAATATTTAATTTATTCCTGTTCCTAATATTTCTTTCAATGTGCGCAGGGTAAGAAACAAGTATTTTCTATAAACCTTACCATGGTAACTGGTGGCTCGAACAATTTGTCACCATCTACTTCCATCCAATTCATTTCTATGGCAGCCGGGTCACCAGGGGAGCATGGAGTAAGTAAATCGTCGACGATAACATTAGGATCCTTAGGCGACGGTCCTTTAACTCGCTTAAAGTGTGTAGCTGTTTGCACTTGTCGGATCGGCTGCATTAGAGCGTCTCGTACAATGATGCTTATATCGGCTCCCGAATAACCATCGGTAGAAGCCGCTAACTTCTTATAATCTTCTTCCGTCAAACAATGTGATGTATTACCCAAGTGAAGCTTAAACATAGCAGCGCGCGCCTGTTTTTCAGGCAACGGAATATAAATTCTCTTTTCAAATCTTCGTCTAATTGCAGAATCCAAGACCCAAGGTATGTTTGTGGCTCCCAGCACGAGTATATTCTCATTATTGTTCCCTACACCTGTTGTGTGTATATATATATATAGATTAAAACATTAGTCCAACTGTATTTTGTGTTCATTTTGGCAAAAGCCGTGCAAAAAATAGATAAATATTTGAAAACATACCTTGCATCTGAACTAGAAATTCTGTTTTTATTCTCCTTGCGGATTCTGACTCATTATCTGACCGCGACGAACAGAGAGAATCTATTTCATCAATAAATATAATGCTACGTTCCTTTTGTCGTGCTAATTCAAACAGATTTTTTACAAGCTTCTCTGACTCTCCTAACCACTTGCTTACTAAATCCGACGATGACGCAGAGAAGAAAGTAGCTTGATTAGCTTCTGTTGCCACCGCCTTCGCCAAATATGATTTACCGGTTCCTGGTGGCTAAATAGCAAATTAGAAATTAAGAATATGTCTCAAGTGAAAATAAATATAATTGTCATATTTAAAATTGCTTACCCCAAATAACAAAATACCTTTCCAAGGTATGCGTCTGCCAGTAAAGAGATAAGGAAAGTGCATAGGTAAAATAACAGCTTCTTTTAAAGCTTCTATGGCTCCATCAAGACCAATCACATCGCTCCAATTAACGTTTGTGTTTTCGTTAATTATAACGCCTTCCAATTTGCTTTGTAATTTCTTCTTTTCAGGATCACTGTCAACGTCACTGTCACCACTGTCGCTCTTCTTATCCTCGCTCTTGGAGTTGTCCGCTCCAGCCTTAACTGGCTTTTTCTTATTCTTCTTCAAGTATTCTTTTAGTTTTTCTGCTCTTTCTAAATATTGCATACATTTTGCTCTTATGCTTTCCTTCACCTTGTCTCCATGCGTCTCGTCTAAAATACATTATTAAATCAATTATGTTAACTTTATATATTCATATAAAATAGTTAGTTCATTAACAAACAATAAATTATTAAACTTGCGTTATCATGTTTATTTAGGGCCTCTTTCACCAATCCAGATTAACGCTAATCGATGGTTAACTCAATCGCTATGATTGCCAATGTGAGAACTAAACACAGAAGAGGACGAAAGAGGAGACATTCTGGATACATTAAACTACTGTTGACACTTCTGCAAGTTGATCGTCGATTAATTTAACCGGAAGTTGGTGAAAGAGGCTCTCATTATTAAATATTAATTACTTGTTACTGGACATACATTTGATTGAATGCAGAAAGTATTCAACACCATGCTCATATAACCTGAGAGCTTCCTCATAGTTTTTATTGCGATCTTCCTCTGTAGCCTTTGTCACAAGATCTATGGCCTTCTGTAAAATTGATTACTCAATAATTTTGTTGATATCTCGTCTTCTTCTAATTTTGTAAATGCTTACCTGTAGTATCGCCGAAGCCATGCTCAGCTTCTTCTCAAGATGTTGAGAAGTTGAATATACAACACAGGCTATTCGCGCCTGTTAAACGACTAAAAGGATTTCTCAATTAGTAACCTTCAAAATCAAAAGTTAGACGTCATCACGTTGGCTACTCCGTTATCGTAGCTATTAACAACGCGATATTTGCGAAAGTATCGATGCCATTGCAACAAATCTTTCAATTCGAATCAGCGTCCTGATTTTTGTCAAGCAGTACACGAAATGATCTCCCGTAATATCAAATCTTTTCACTCGTTGTCACTCGCTACAATTCCGTAATTATGCGACAAAACTTTAGACCGCGCACCGCATTGTTGGCGACGACGTCGAAATAACGCATTGCAACTTATTGTACAGTTAATTCAGACATTTCACGGGACACATACGATACATACGAAGCTTCCTGGAATATTGTTGATATTGTTGTCACTGTAAGATTCAGGATGCCTTCGAGCAAGTCGGAAAACTTGCCGTCATTTTAGCTTTCTTCTCGGAATCTTCGGATGTTCCGTAGAGTATCTGGAAATCGATGCATTTAACCTCGCTTCGTTATTGGCTGTATGGTACAGGGGTTAATCATTGCAAAATAAATGGACGAATGAAAATGTGAAACAGTCGTCTACAAATTTCCCTTTCTCTCGAAAATCTCTAGAACGACGAGGCGTCATGGAAACGCTCGAATTTTCGCCACATACGCAACCCGCAAAATTAGCGTTCCGAGGTATATTCCGAACTGGATTAGCTTAGTTTATTTTTTCCCTTAGATGTTGGCAGTTCCGTAACTGAACCGAGAAGGGGTCCGTAGAGACCCTCTAATAAGAGTCTGGTCACCTTCTCCCTGGTTTGTGATTGGTCCGACATTTATCATCCATTCCCGCAAATTTCTTTAAATCCGAATTTGTAAAAATTAATAAATTCGTAAAAATTAAAGTAGAATTAATTGAAATTTTTATTTTTATTATTATTTAACTTATGTTAACATTATTAAATATTTTCTATAATAACTTTTACATGTATGTATTATTCCTTTAACGCATAATAAAAAGAATTATTCCTTTACTTAAATGCATAATGAAAATACATCACCCTAAACTCGACGCCGGATTCATCCTCGTAACACGTAGAACTCATGTGCACAACAGTCTAAGTTCGCTAATTAGTTTATCACTAATACGAATTGGGTGTATGGGAGTAATTGAGGAGGGTTTTCGTTGAGAAATTTCACTCGGATTCAGTTAGTAGTTTATTAATTATAATTCGCCCAAAGCAGAAATTAGACCTACAAGTTATATTTAGGATAATATATATATTTACATAAAGAAAAAGAAATTAAGCTTAGTATTAGGTTTAAAATTACTTAAGGTTAGAATTTGAATTGGATTTGATAAAAGAAAGAAATGAAAACAATTCCGTGAGTTACAACTAATTCAGATTTCCTTTCGCACGCAGTGCTCTAAATTCGAATAGAGAGACGTTTTTGCCGATGGGAAGGGCCTTGGAAGAACTTCACCTGAGAGGGCGCTTTTGGCCCTGAGTCTAAGGCTGGTATTCATAGTTAGATCTTATATTTAAGACCGTCTTAAGTTCAGCCTTAAGGTATCATGAACCAATCAGAAAGCCGCATTAGCGTCTTAAAATATTACTTAAGACGGTTTTGAAATAAGAACCGACTATGAATACCGGCCTAAGACAGAGAAAAGTCAGGGGACCCACACACTAATGGCCGCAGCACAGACTCTTGCATAACGCATAATGCATAGTGCATAAGGGAATCGACCAATCGAAATTCTTCTTTTCCATGGAATGAAAGGAAAGGAAAGATTCTGATTAGTTGATTCGCTTATGCATTATGCGTTATGCGTTATGCATGAGTCTGTGCTGCGGCCTTAACCAATCCGCTTGCCACAGCCATCGACAAATGTCATCATAAGGTAAGATATCATCACCTCACCACATTTCGATTACCGTGGGCCGTGAATCCCGTCCACGCGTAGCATATGTCCGACTCATCCGCGCTCGCGTCCATCTATAGACATCCGTCTGCTAGAAATCAGCCCTTACACAGCATGGATTCGTAGTGCATGTTGCGTGTATTCATATTCTTTCGTCATACAGAAAATAGCGAGACTATAAATGTCCCGAGTGTTAGGGTGAAATCACACGGTGCGGAAAAAGACTGCGGAATAGAGAATGCGTTATTGAAGCAACCAATCAACGCTATTCAGCGCTATTCAGCGCTATTGGTTGCTTCAATGACGCATTCTCTATTCCGCAGTCTTTTTCCGCACCGTGTGATTTCACCCTTACTTCTCTTTGCCTGTCGATGGCTGCGTTCAGCAGAACAGTTTTGCAACTGTTGGAAGTTTCCTTCGCGCTGATTGGATCATACTTTTAGATCTAGAAGAATGGTCCTATCTCAACAGACAATCATAAAACGATTGCAAAACTGTTGAGTCTGCTGAACGCAGCCAATGAAAAACAGAATTACCTAGGGGTACTGCGATACTACATCCATTTAAGCTTCCCCGAAATATTCGAGACCTGCAACAAATGCTCCGTGTCGTTGGCCTCTGTACATAATTTCGCGAGTTGCCGCGATTGCCCTGAAATTCTGGAGAAGTTTCTCAACTTGGACAGGACGGGAGTTACATGACAATTTTCATAAAAAAAGAGGGGGTAATGTTGGTAGCAACAAAAACCCTTGAGGCACCATAGTTTTATTTTCTACGGATTTACAAGTAGTAATCCGTTAGTTTGCGCCACGGAGTAATAAGAAGGAGATCAAGCTCAAGCGGTCGGCTATAAAAAAGAGGGCTCGAAACACGGTGTCGGAAAAGCGCTGTATAGAAGAACTGATCCGAGCGCGCCTGTCGGAGAAAACTGTGAACTAGGGTATTTTTCAACAAGTCTTATTTCGTATGCGCGCGAAAACGTGTTACGACAATTTTTGTGCTCAGATCCTGTACAAAAAATATTTTGTATATGTAATTTAATTTTGTAGTTTTTTTAAGATGTATAATTACTACATGTAGCAAACTTCAAGTTACATAGTAATTACATATAATATTAAAAACTTACTCTATATATTAATAATGAACTGATTCACTCCCTTTATTAACTGTTTATTATATATATATATATAAATGTTCAATTCTCTTTATTAAAAATACCTCCGTGATTAAAAATAAATGAAATTTCCACATCGAAACA